CACATGTTGGTGTCCCCTAGGCCCTCTTAGGTTCTGTTAACTTTTCTTCATTCTTTTTTATTTCTGCTTCTCAGACTACATAGTCTCAATTGTTCTATCTTCAAGTTCAGTGGTTATTTCTTCTACTTGTTCAAATCTGTGGAACCCCTCTAGTGCATTTTTCATTTCTGTTATTATACTTTTCAACGCCAGAATATTTTTATTGAACTTTTTTCTATAATTTATATTAATATTCTCTTTTTATGAGACAGTGTTCTTACAGTCTTCTTTGGTTCTGTATATATGGCTTCTTTCAGTTCTATGAGCATATAGAAAAGAGTTAAAGTCCAGTGAGTTGAATCTGGGCTTCCTCAGAAACAGTTTCTATTAATTTCTTTTACTCTATGTGGACCATGCTTTCTTTTCTTTTTTTTGTATGTCTCAATTTTTCCATTGGAAACTGAACATTATATTGTATTATAATGTGGCAGCTCTGGAAACCAGACTGTCTCTCTTACCTAGGGAAGAGAGTTTTTGTTGCTCCTTATTGTGGTTTTTGTTGTTTAGTGACTTTTCTGAATGAATTTATTTTTTAATTTTTCACACCCCTTTTTATTATTACAACTAACTTTATAAAGTTTGTAATTGTTGTCACATGTGGCTACTGAAGTCTATTTCAGTAAATTAGTTACCTACTAGTAATATGACAGCATACTCTGCTATTTTCAGTAATGTCACTCCTCTGCAATCAATTGCTTTAAAATATGGTTTTTTGGGGCTTTTTTTTTTCATTTATTTATCTCTGCCCCCGACCCTGCCTCGCCCCATCTTCAAAATATAAGTTTTTAAAAGGGTTAGTAATAGTAACTTGTGCTGAGTCTTTCTCCTAGATGATGGGCTCTGGTTTTTAGGATTTGTACATACTTAGTGACTCCATATTTTGCACCATTTTCTCTCTTCCAATGAATATCCTGTGCGCTTCATGCCTCATACTGGTGGGGAACATCAACTCAGACAAGAAAATGCAACTAATATGGTATGGTATTTGTGCCTTTTAGATACTATAGGAACGCTGATTCCCACATAAAATTGGCTTTTGATCTAGTCCCATCCTAGACATGAGGCTGTGTTCCCTTCTTTCAAGGAAGATGTGGAAAACTAGTGCTGGCCTTGATTGACTTGGGAAGTGTGCTGGTGGACAGAATAAGCATCATTAATGTGGCATATTCCCCCAGACCAGACATGTATATTGGCTCCAACACCCTAAATAACTTGAGAGAAAAAGTCTTTTCACATTCTATTTTTGGGTTGTCCTCTGCTACATATGACTGACAGGGACAGCCTGCTTTAAAGGGACTTCATGAGCACTGACCATGATAATCTAGTTATATATAATCTAGAAATAAAATATTCTGGTAAAAGTAAACCACCTTTGATAGATGACATGATGTAACAAAGAACCTCAGTCTTCACAGGACCCCTGGGGATAAAGTTTTTCTGAAAGAAATCTCAGGATTTTGTGAGAAACGCTCTTTTATCCTTCTTTCCCCCAACTCTTTAAAAAACAGAAAACTTTTTGGATTGAGAATTTTTTCAAAAATGAGCAAAATATTTATTATGTGGGGCTTATATATTGTTGTCAAGTATTTGTTGATACCATGTATAACTTTAGGTCATTCTATTCCTGAGCACATGATGGTAACCAATATGGTGAAACGTCCAAACACAACTGAAAATGCAGTCTTCTCTCGGAGCTGACTTTCTTTTTTTTTTTTTTGAGTTGGAGTCTCACTCTGTCACCCAAACTGGAGTGCAGTGGCCGCTCCCGGCCACCGCAGCCTCGACCTGCTGGGCTCCGGCGATCCTTCCGCCTCAGCCTTCCAAGTAGCCGGAATTACAGGCATGCGCTACCACGCCCGGCTGATTTTTTGATTTATTGTAGAGATGAGGTCTCGCTGCCCAGGCAGGTCTCGAACCCACGGGCTCAGGCAATCCACTCACCTCAGCCTCCCAAAGGCGCGGGATTACAGGCTGAACCACCAAGCCTGGCTGGAGCTGACTTTCACTGGAGAGATACTTTGGAAGAATCCCTGGTCTGATATAGTCCTTCATCAAATAATGATCAAAAAGCACTTTCTACTGGATTGTAACAAACTTGAACTAAAATAAGATGTGAAATGACCCGTATCATAGTCTTTCCATGGGCTATTTGAATTTTCATTTGAGGTTTTTTAATTAAAGTGCATTATAGCTGGGTACGGTAGTTCATGCCTGTAATCCCAGCACTTTGGAAAGCAGAGGTGAGAGGATTGCCTGAGCCCAGGTGTTCAAGACCAGCCTGGGCAACTTGGGGGGAGACTTTCTCTCTACAGTAATCTAAAAAATTAGCCGAGTGTGGTGGTGCATGCCTATAGTTCCTGCTTCTTGGAAGGCTGAGGCAGAAGGATTGCCTGAGTCCAGTAGGTTGCAGTGGCCTTGAGTGTGCCACTGCACTTCAGCCTGGGCAGCAGAGTGAGACTCAAACTCAAAAAAATAAAATACATTGTAAAGAAATGTTTTTGAGCACAGGATAGATAAGGAAAGGAAACTTCCGATTGAAGTCTCAAGTCTATTTCTAAAAGATCTGTGTGGAAGTAAAGTACATGAAAAGAAATCTTTATATGACCACAAAAAAGTGTTTTCAAACACCTAGCTTACTTTGTGCCTGCTTTTATTCATTTACTTATTTTTGATTGAAGTCTCACTCTGTTGCCGAGGCTGGAGTGCAGTAGCTCACTCATAGTCACCCCAGAGTCGACCTGCTGGGCTGGCGATCCTTCTGCCTCAGTCTTCCAAGTAGCTGGAACTATAGGCATGCGCTACCATGCCCAGCTAATTTTTGATTTATTGTAGAGACAAGGTCTTGCCAAGTTGCCCAGGCTGGTCTCGAACTCGCGGGCTCAGGCAATCCATTCTCCTCGGCTTCCCAAAGTGCTGGGGTTACAGACTGAGTCACCAAGCCCGACCTGTGCCTACTTTTAACTATGACTTTACGTGAAATTTAAAATTATCTTGGTGATGGTTTTAAAGGACTTGTATCTGGATTTGGTTCATCACAAAAGATTACTTCCAAAACACACATGTAGTATCAGCAAACTGAGTGTGTTATTCCTGGAAAATCAGCTCTAGAAGGTACTATGTAAAATAATGAGTCCTAGACCAGGCGTGTTGGCTCACGCCTGTAATCCCAGCACTTTGGGAGGCTCAAGCGGGAAGGATTGCTTGAGTCTAGGAGTTTGAGGGCAGCCTGAGCAACAGAGCGAGACCTCATCTTTAAAAAAATAAATAGAATAGTAAGTTCTGATGAGGAAGGCGGTATCCTTTGGCCTTTGGGCATGCCAACTGATTCATGACCAAGCCCCCTCTTACTCCCACATTTAGCAGTGTTCTTGAGTACCAACTAAACACAGAGGATTCTCCAGGCTCTTCAGGGGAGAGTCCTGTGCTCAAGAACTTAAAATCATTTAAATATATCATAAATGGGGTATAAATAAAAATGCTTTTGTGGGTGCCTCCACTTTGTGAAAACCTACCAAGCTGCGTTAGGATGGATGCCCTTTACTGTATGTGTGTTATCTAAAAAGAAAAAGTCCTCACCCGCCCCCCACAAGTGTTTTGAGAATACATATGCAGAGAATTTTGTTACTTCTAACTAAAAGAACAAGGAAGTGTCTCTATAAGGAAGCTAACTTTCTGGCTATATGTTATATCGTACTGAGAGTTCCGCATGGTCAGAATAAGGTGGTTTTGTTTTCAGGTAAGTAGATGATGTCATTGTCATCATTATCACAGCAGCTACTACTTATTAAGGACGTATGTGCCTGTGCCAGGTGTCATCTGAGTCCTTTGTGCATACTAACCTGCTGAATCCTCATAGCATCCCTGTGAGGTAGGCTACTGTTACTGTCTCCATTTGAGAGAGGAAGAAATTGAGACACAGTGAGGTTGAATAATTTGCTCAAGGTCATTCAGCTAAATATATGGCAAAGCCAGGATACAGACTGCTCTGTCCAGCTTATCTTATCTAAACAGTAGCAGTTCTCAAAGTGTGGTCCAGGAACCCTCATGGGTCCTCAGACACTTCCAGGGGTCACAAGGTCAATACTATATTCATAGTCATAGAAACACATTAGTTCCCCTTTTCTCTCTTATTGTCTGATGAATGTACAATGTAGTTTTCCAGAGGCTGTGTGACGTGTACTATCACAACAGGCAGACTGCAGAAGTGGATACAAGAATCTAGATGTCAGGCCAGGTGCATTGGCTCATGCCTGTAATCCCAGCACTTTGGGAGGCCAAGGCAGGAGGATTGTTTAAGCCAGGAGTTTGAGGTAAGGCTACGCAACATAGCAAGACATACGCAAGGTGGAGGCTGAGGTGGAAGGATCACCTGAGTCCAGGCGGTTGAGGCTGCAGTGAGCCGTGATCATGCCACCGCACACCAGCCTGGACAATAGAGTCCTTAGCTCTTACTCAAAAAAAGAAGGTGAACAATATTACATCAAATATATATTTATTTTTCATAAACTACATTATTCATATTAAGATTTAATGGACCTATTATTGCTTTAAATAAATTAATAAATACTGAAAAAATGTCATCAGTTTCACTTTTTCATATGAAGACTATCTATAGCTATAACCCATATATACAAAAGCTCTCTTGCAGTGCTCGGTTATTTATAAAGGGGTCTTCAGACAAAAAGGTTTGAGAACCACAGCCCTACACTGTGCTGCCTTGGGAAAGTGGTCACCCAGAAGCTGGTTTTATGAGTATAGCGGTGGCTTTGGAGTCAGCACCACCTCTGTTTGAGACCTGGCACCTAAAAATGTACCCTTCCTTTTCCACTGTGAAGCTGGCCTTCATGATGCTGACTTCCTGGTGTGGAGGCAAGAACTAAGTGAGCGAATGCAAGGAAAGTTCAGTGCAGAGTAAGCACTCAGCCGGTGGCAGACCAGGAATGTGCTTGTGTTATCCGCAGGTGATGGAATTTTACTGCCAGTCCTGTGAGACCGCCATGTGTCGGGAGTGCACGGAGGGGGAGCACGCGGAGCACCCCACTGTCCCCCTCAAGGACGTGGTGGAGCAGCACAAGGCCTCGCTCCAGGTCCAGCTGGATGCTGTCAACAAAAGGTATGGCACCCCTCCCTCGGGTCCCCAACTGGCCGCCTGTGCATGAAGCCTGGGCTCATGGTCTCAGTATAGAGTAGGTTCATGTTACCCTTGGGGTATCGGGCTGTGGGTCATAAATGAATTCTTTGATCATAGGTCTCTTGTCATAAACTAGGGAGTGATGGAGGCTGTTCCCTGTCCCTTGGAAAAATTTCAACCTCCTTATGTTATGAGTAGTGGCTTTTTTGTTTAGTATCTTACATGAATTAAAGTGCACTCAAAGAAAATGCACTCAGGAGATCACTGGAACTCATGCCTGAAACCAGACTCTCTGAGGAACGTTTCTTAGTTGCTGTTATTTTGGTGGTGGTGGTTTTTGTTTTTGTTTTTGTTTTGAGCCACAGTCTTACTCTGTCAACCAGGCTGGAGTGCAGTGGTATGATCACAGCTCACCACAGTCTCAAACTCCCAGGCCTAAGTGATCCTCCAGCCTCAGCCTTCCAAGCAGCTGGGATTACAGGCATGCATGCTAAGCCTGACTATTTAAAAAATTTTTTTGAGGGACAAGGTCTTACCACGTTGCGCAGGCTGATCTCGAACTACGGTGCTCAAGAAATCCTCCCACCTCAGCCTCCCAAAGTGCTAGGATTACAAGTGTGAGCCACAAGCCCAGCCTAATTTTTTTTCTCTCTCCCCCACCCCCGCTATGTTGCCTAGGCTGGGCTTGAACTCCTGGACTCAAGCAATCTTCCTGCCTGGACTTCCCAAAGTGCTAGGTTTACATGTATGAGGACTGTGCCTGGCCTTTTTATTTGTCTGGTTGGTTGTTAAAACATTTTTTTTAGCTGCTGTTCTTGAAACACTTACAGGCCATTTTGTCGGCTATGACGGACTCCTTTCTGTCTGAGTCCTGCAGAATGGTGTGAGCAGTGATTGCTCTGTTTTCTTTGTTTTCTCACTTCCAGGTTCCTTCTTTGGCACATAAATTAAGGAACAGAGTAGCTGCATCGTACATGAGAAACACCGAAGAGAGGAACTAGACAGCTGAAAAGTAGACAAATAAATCTCTTCACCAATAGCCCTAGTGAGAAAAGTGTGGTTGTTCTACACTAATTAAAAGAATTTGGAAACTTACAAAAAGTTCCCAGGAGACCTTGAGACTGGATGTTTTCTGTGTGGCTGCTGGGAAAAAGACCCAGCTATATATTTAGAATAGTGGTTCTCAGCCATGGGTGATTATACCCCCCAGGAGACATTTGGCAATCCCTGAAGACATTTGGAGGGGAGGGGAGTGTTTATTGGCAGCTGGTAGGGGACAGGATACCATTAAACATCCTACCATGTGCCAGACAGCCCCTGCAACAAAGAATGTTCTGGCCAGAATGGCTTTTCAGAACTTCAAGCGTTTGAGCCCTTAATTATTAAAATTAGATTGATTGAAGGTAGATTGAAATTGACATGGACCCTCAGCTCTCTTCTCTCAAAGGCAGTCATTATGCCTTATTCATTTGACATCTTCTTTTCAAAGATGATGAAAGGTATAGAAAAATGTGGTTTTTTTCTTTTTTACAAAATAAAGCATTTAGATAGGTTTGGGGAATATTTCCAGGTTGAGGAGGTTAAATAATGATCTTTAACAACTGTTCCACCCAGGCTCCCAGAAATAGATTCTGCTCTTCAGTTCATCTCAGAAATCATCCATCAGTTAACCAACCAAAAGGCCAGCATCGTGGACGACATCCATTCCACCTTTGACGAGCTCCAGAAGACGTTAAATGTGCGCAAGAGTGTGCTTCTCATGGAACTGGAAGTCAACTATGGCCTCAAACACAAAGTAAGACTCCAGTCATCCTGGCAGCTGTCCCATAGGAGACTGATCTCAAGGGCACTTCAAGGCACTAGCTTATTGTGTCCTAATAACAGCACAGGGGACCTGAGTGGGTCTTGAAGTGTCACCGTTGTACAGGAAACCATAGTTTTCACTTAATGGAATATCCAGCTATTTTTTTTTCTTTCTTTTTTTCAGCAAAACTCTGTGATTCGGTGACTTCAAGTGTTAGTTTATAATTTGACCAGAGGACAGATTGAATATAATGTCATGCTTTTAGAATTTAGGGTTCAACTGGATTGTTTTCCTTCCCTCAATTATAATGTGAAATAATCTTTTAATTGCTCTCTCACCCACACCAACCAGTTAGTCAACTTCAAGGTGAGCCCTGACTGCAGCCTGTGTTTAATTCTCCGTGTCTACTCACAAAACCAGGGATGAAAAGGTTGCCGCGTTCAGGGGTGGAGAGTTTCCATCTTAGTTTCTTCTGTTCCTTGAGCTGGGAGCTTTGGACCTTGGGGAAAGGTACCAAGAAATGAATGTTTCCGGCATCAGGCATAGCAGTTAGCTTGCCATGTTCTTGGTGGTGATGTTTCTGCTTTCCCCTATCCAGTACACATGACCCAATCCCTGCGTGGGAAGAGACAGGGCGGGGGAGGGGAATATTCGAGAAGGTCCTGGGAGTGCCCTTTAGAATTTTGCGGTATAACTGGGTTCTCCCGGTTCACCGAAGTTCCCCCTGCTCCTAGCCACCTGCCTGGGCGGGTGTAGACGCTCCTCCTTGCCAGCCGAGGGCACTGCCCCAGCGGCGCGTCCCAGCGGCTGCGCCCCGCCCTGCAGGAAGCGCTCACCAGAACTCGGGTTTCCCGGCAGGTCCTGCAGTCGCAGCTGGACACGCTGCTCCAGGGCCAGGAGAGCATCAAGAGCTGCAGCAACTTCACGGCGCAGGCCCTCAACCATGGCACGGAGACTGAGGTGCTGCTGGTGAAGAAGCAGATGAGCGAGAAGCTGAACGAGCTGGCCGACCAGGACTTCCCCCTCCACCCGAGGGAGAACGACCAGCTGGACTTCATCGTGGAGACCGAGGGCTTGAAGAAGTCCATCCACAACCTCGGGACCATTCTTACCACCAACGCCGTGGCCTCGGAGACGGTGGCCACCGGTGAGGGGCTGCGGCAGACTATCATCGGGCAGCCCATGTCGGTCACCATCACCACCAAGGATAAGGACGGCGAGCTGTGCAAGACCGGCAACGCCTACATCACCGCGGAGCTCAGCACCCCCGACGGCAGCGTGGCGGACGGGGAGATCCTAGACAACAAAAACGGCACCTATGAGTTTCTGTACACGGTCCAGAAGGAAGGGGACTTCACCCTCTCCCTGAGGCTCTACGACCAGCACATCCGCGGCAGCCCCTTCAAGCTGAAAGTGATCCGGTCCGCCGATGTGTCTCCCACCACCGAAGGTGTCAAGAGGCGTGTGAAGTCCCCTGGCAGTGGCCACGTCAAGCAGAAAGCTGTGAAAAGACCCGCCAGCATGTACAGCACTGGGAAACGAAAAGAGAACCCCATCGAAGACGACCTGATCTTCCGAGTGGGTAAGGAGAGAGCCTGCCACTACTGGCGCCTGAACTGGCTTTTGTTGGGGTTGTAGCTGGGGACCTGTTATTGCACACAGGAACGTTGCAGCCCAGAACCTCCACCTAAAGGTGTTGGGAGAGATATTGATATGACATTTGACATATTTTGTTGGGTGAGCTTATGCAGTCTTCTCCTCCTCCTCTGTCTCCTTTCCCCTTCCTGATCCTTTGTGTGTGTGTGTGTGTGTGTGTGTGTGTGTGTGGCAGGGTGGAGTGCAGTGGTGCAAACCCAGCTCACTGCAGCCTCAAACTCCTGGGCTCAAGTGATTTTCCCATCTCAGCCTCCCCTATAGCTGGGACTACCTGCATGCACCCTTAAACCCAGCTAATTTTTTCATTTTTTGTAGAGACATGGTCTCACTATATTGCCCAGACTGGTCTTGGACTCCCGGGCTTAAGCAGTTTTCCCATCTTGGCCTCCCAAAGTGCTGGGGTTACATGCATGAGCCACTACAACCCAGTCTCTAAAAGTCTTATGGGCAATCTGAAAATCTTAAATGGCAGTCTCCCTCCCTCTCCCCTGGGAATATCTTTAGACATTCCTGCCTAACCCACAGGTAGAGAGATTGTTATCTTAGGGGATGTGCCAGCTCTGGGCGGCGTGACTGATACCTTCCTGTCACTGCTTCTGCACTGTGGAGAGGGGTGTGCTGCAAGTTTTCAATCACCTCCCACTATGTGTAGCTAGCTGGAAGGCCGCCCCAGAGAGGGAAGCGTTGGTGGAAACTTGGGGAACAGAATGGGGCGGGGTTGGTGCTGGAGAAGCCAAGGGAGTTGGGAATGCAAGTAGCCCTTCCCTCCTCTCAGTTACTCCTCTTTGATTTAACTGTTTATGTTCTCAGGTGAAAGCAAACTAAATATAAACAACAAAGGGCCTGATAATGCTTAAGGGGAAAATGTCTGCTTTTTAGTTTCAGAAAGTGTCTCTGGCATCTCTTCTTCCCTCAGTCTTACGTTGCAGTATCTCTAAAAGGTGTTGCAGCTGGGTATGGTGGTTCACACCTGTAATCTTTTTTTTAAACTTTAGATTAGAAAATTTAGTTTATTTAGAAAAGAAATTGGAGAGAGAGAGAGAAAAAGGAGATTCACCACCCTAAGGTAGGGAAAGGGGGCCAAAGCCAGGAAACATGGCCTGGCCACACACTTGTAATCTTAGCACTTTGGGAGACTGAGGTGAGAGGATTGCTTGAGCCTAGGAGTTTGAGACCAGCCTAGGCAGCAGAGCAAGACCTCATCTCTACAAAAGATCAAAAAATTAACCCGGCATGGTAGCTCACACCTGTGATCCCAGATACTCAGGAGGCTGGGAGGAATGATCACCTGAACCCAGGAGGCTGAGTCTGTGCTGAGCTGTGATCATGCCACTGGACTCCAGCCTGGACGACAGATGGAGATGCTAACTCAAAAAAGAAAAAAGAAAAAAAAAAAAGAGTGTTGAGCAGTAAATTAACTGACACATGACGAAAAACAATTCTGTGATTCAAATAAACTGGGCAAACCTTAGGCTAAATGAGGGAAGCAGATTTTTTTTTAAATTGTAGAACTTCTCAGAACCTCTAGAATCTGGTAATGATGTGCACTGAAGTCTGAGGCAGAAGAGTGGTGACAGACAGCACTTCCAAACTTTTCTAACCATGTAATTTTTTCCATGGAACATCTTGGAACATTTCTGGGGAAAGCTGCTTTGTGTTAGCACTTCAAGCTGAATCTTTTTTTTTTTAGTTTGGGGCTCACTCTAGAGTGTCACCCAGGCTGGAGTGCAGTGGCACGATCACAGTTCACCGCAACCTTGACCTCCTGGGCTCAGGTGATCCTCCTGCCACAGCCTTCCAAAGTGCTGGGATTACAAGTGTGAGCCGCCACGCCTGACCCAGGCTGAATCTTGGTAAAGACTGTGGTGTGATGTGCAACTTGTCTGTTCAGAGCATGGAGGTTCTCATCCATTCTTGGGTCGTGCCTGCCAGGCGGGTGCAGGGATTGTCGATGCACGAACAAAGCAGAGTGGACGAGCCGAAGCGGGTGCAGGACTGGGACCCTCCTGGGTCTGCCATGCCGATTTCACCACTTGAGCCTTGGGCAGATCTCTTAGTGTCCCTGAACTTCAGATCCTGTGTCTATGAAAAGGAAATGCAAAGACCTCTGCTTCTCAGAGTGACTGAGCTCCAAGCTGATGCGTGGGAGGAGCCAGATAAATGAGAACTGTTGTGTCTGCACCTGTCATTGTCAATGCCCTTCCACGTGCCCTGCTACCTTTGCTTTTCGAAAAATCTAACTTGCTGGCTCCCTGCTGATCTCTTGCCTTAGGAACAAACTCATTTTCAAATTCAAACCCTGCCCCCCATGTCTCCAGGCGTGTGACCCTAGCCTGCTTCCTTAAGCAGCACGCAAGGTGGTGACAAGCTAGGATCTGGAGATGGGAGGATCTGGGTCTGAACCCCGCGTCTCCTTGCCAGCTGGGCAACCTACTTCTCTTTTCTGAAACATGTTTTCTCCTCGGCGAAAAAAAGGAATGAAACGGTACCTAAATTTGCAGCTTTCTGTGGTGGTGAGATGAGAGAGAATGCTTGTGGTATTTGCCTGTATGCAGTCATGCTCAATTAATGTTAGCTAAGATTTTACTACTACTATTATTATTATTATTATTTTGAGTTGCCATCTCACTCTGTCACCCAGGCTGTAGTGCAGTGGCACAAGGCTCACCGCAACCTCAACCTCCTGTGTTCAGGTGATCCTTCTGCCTCAGCCTCCTACACTTTAGGACTATGGGTGCATACCACCACACCTGGCTGGGACTATGGGTGCATACCACCACACCTGGCTAATTTTTTAATTTTATTGTAGAAATTAGGTCTTGCCATGTTGCCTAGGGTGGTCTCAAACTCCTGAGCTCAGGCAATCCTCTCACCTCTGCCTAATCAAGTGCTAAGATATATAGGTAAGAGTCACCATACCTAGCCTAGTATTGTTGTTATTATTATTATTATTGTTATTTGAGTTTGAGTCTCACTCTGTCCACCCAGGCTGGAGTGCAGTGGCATGCTCATGGCCACCCCAGCGTCGACCTGCTGGGCTCCAGCGATCCTTCCACCTCAGGCTTCCCAGTAGCTGGAACTACAGGTGCGCGCTACCACACCCGGCTAACTTTTTTATTTTTATTGTAGAGATGAGGTCTCGCCAAGTTGCCCAGGCTGGTCTCTAACCCACAGACTCAGGCAAACCACTCTCCTCAGCCTCCCAAAGTGCCGAGATTACAGACTAAGCCACTGAGCCTGGCCTACTGTTTTTATTATTAATCATCATCATTTCCACCTCTGAGACCCACTTGAGGAAGGAGACATGGCTTTTAGGGGTGTCTCCCCTCAAACTATATTGGCTTTGAGTTCCCACTTCCCACCCCAGGGAAAAATGGCACATCTCCTCTCCTCGTGCCCATAGTGGTTCACTGACACTGCTGGAAAGGTGGTTAGGTGTTTAAACATTTGTAAAGAACTAAGAACAGGGCCTGGCATGCAGTGTAAAGTCCTAGTTTACCAATGAAGTTGCTGTCTTAGTTTGATACGGTTGCCATGACAAAATACCACAGTCGGGTTGGCTTAAACAACAGACATTCATTTTCTCACAGTTCTTTTTATTTTGTTTTTTTAATTTTAGAGTTGTAGGGTACATGGGGAGGATTTGCTGCATAAATAAACTGCATGCAGGTGAGGTGTGGGCTTCTAGCGGGCCTGTTCTCCCCTGATGGTGCTCTCTCCCCAGCCCGTTGCTTCCCACGTCCCCCCAGCCCCCAAGCAGTGCCAGTGTCTTCAGTTCCTACCCTTGTGCTCATGCGACCTGTGATCAGGGCCCGCTTACTGAGAGTATGTGATATTCCATTGTTTCTTCCAGTTCTAAAACTGGAATTGTTTTGGAGTTAGCAGTCCAAGAAACAAGTGCTAGAAGGGTGGGCTTTCTCTCAGGCCTGTGGCCTTGGCTTGCAGATGACTGCCCTTTTTCTGCTTTGACTCACTTTTCTGCTTTGTTCACTGCAGCCTGTGTGGCTTACACACTTGCTAATAGCAAGTTCTGCTGCTCATTGCTTGCAGGTGGAAATGAACAAGTATGAGGTGTAGTGGAAGGTAGGTGATTTTTTTTTTTCTTTTTGAGTCGGAGTCTCACTCTATCACCCAGGATGGAGTGCAGTGGGACTATTACGGCTCACCATAGCCTCGACCTCTTGGGCGCAGGTGATCCTTTCATCTCAGCCTTCTGAGTAGCTGGGACTACAGGTACACATCACCATACCTGGCTAATTTTTATTTATTTATTTTTTATTAAAAAAAATTTTTTTTAGGGACAAGGTCTCTCTATGTTGCCCAGGTGGAAAGGAAGGTGATTTAATTCCAAGCTATGGCACGTGGGGAAATGTCAGATTCATGCCTCAAAAAACATTTCAGAATGTTCGGCCAAGAATGGGGAATTGTAAAGGGAAAGAATGGAATAAGTGTATCCAGGAGCAGATCTTGCTTCTATGGCTATCCTGAAGTGTTGTCCTCCTGGACAGCTAGCTGATGTCATCCCAGTTGTGGCCAGGTTGTAGATTACTCACCTTGAGGTAACCTCTAAACATTGGAGAACCCTGCTGTGGGAGGGTCTCCATACTCTGTTATTCCAAGGTCAGCCTCTGGAACAGCCTCTAGAATTTCTCATGCAGATATGCAATTGGATTATAAAGAAAAGAAAAAAATCTTTAAAGTGTAGGTTAAGACAGAAAAAGGGTTAAAACTATCTCTCAAGAGCTGAAATGGAAGTTGTCTGTTATAACATCTCTTCTTATAAAAACACTAATCACATTGGGTATACCTCGAGTAGTGGCACTTCTGGGTCATGGTCGTTCTATTTTTGATGTTTTGAGGAGCCTCCATGCTGCTTTCTATAATGGCTGCACTCATGTAAGTTCCCCCTAACCTGTGTCAGAGTTC